ACAGTTTTTGCCAGCCGTTATCTTGTTATTTTCTACAGTTTGATTTGATTGTGAAACGGCTGCTTTGTGTTTGTTCGTTTGAATCTCCAAGAGGAGACGTAACAATTACTATTATTATTATTAGTTATTATTATTATTATTATTGCCTCTTTAATGGATTTTGTGCACTAATGGGAAAAAAGCATGGAAAATACTGGGGGGAAGTGGGAGGATTTAGAATTGGAAGACAGTTACACCTGGGACTGTCTCCTGCTCCATAAATCAGGTTTCATTAGAAGCACCCACGCATTTGTTTAATAATCACAGCAGAGAACAGCACAAGGCCAACAGAGGATGACTTCCAAAACAGTTCAGATCTGATTAATACTTCCCTGGGAAGCTGCAAAAACCAGGAGAAAGTGGCGGTCATGCTGTTGCCAAGAAAATGCCCACATCATCATCATAAGTGAAGGCTCACTCAAGAAAAACCCTACTTTTTCTTTTTGTAGTTTTATTGTGATTTTAGAAATGATGCGGGTAGGAGCAATCAACCTTGCTTTGCCTCTGTTCCCAAAAAGGAAGAGGAGCCAATTTTATAATTGTAGCCGAGTTTTCTAATGGAAGGAACCACCTTCATTTCCATATACTGTATATGGAGGAGCTTCACCTACTCCTTTTGCCAAATCCAGCAGCTTCTGAGAGATGGAAGAAGTAGTCATGCCTACAGTTAGGGAGGCTAATATACCCTGTAGGGTCAGCCCTCCCTGTTGGTTCATGCTTTTCTTCCTTTCATATATTTATTATATAAGTCTTGGATTTATCAACTTATTCATTGAGAGACCAAAGGCACAACAACGCTGAAAAGAATGATTTACAACCGATCCTCACATTTACAGCCATTGGTCGTGATCAGGATACAGGTGCTTGACAAGCAGTCTGCATTTATGATGGCTGCCATTTTGGGGAGGGGGGGTCACATGGTGGCCATTTGCGACTTTCTAAGCTAGCTTGGAGCAATCAAAGTCAATAGAAGAAGCTGGATTTGCTTAACGACTGCAGTGATTCACGTAACAACGGTGGCAAAAAAAGATTGGGGGCGACATTTAACCACCACCTTGTTGGCCCTAACTTTGGCTGTAATTTGATGTATAAGAAAAGAGAAATACTACTTACCTCTCTAGCAACTCCTTTGCTTCCTGTGAGGCAGAGGGAGGGAGGGAGCGAAGGAAGGAAGGAAGGAAGGAAGGAAGGAAGGAAAGAAGGAAGGAAGGAAGGAAGGAAGGAAGGAAGGAAGGAAGGAAGGAA